TGCCCCTCTCCCTTCTCCCAGCCTCCCTGCCCCTCTCCCTTCTCCCAGCCTCCCTGCTCTCTCCAGACTGTTCACTCACTTCTTAAACGAGCAGGCATCTGGGCAAGTGGGACACTTCTCACAGGTGTCCCCGTAGGAGCCTGGCTGGACGCAGACACAGCTGCCACATTCACAGTTGCCCCGGCCGCTGCACAGCAGCCCGTTGCTGGACATGCAGGTGTCAGTGCGGGTTGTGCAGTTGCAGTAGAAGCCAGTCCAGTCTGAGTCACACACGCAGTCCCCACAGTTGCACTGGCCATGGCCTACAAACAGAGCACAGGACAGCAGACCAACTAGTGAGAAGCGGGTCCCATGTCACCCCGTTCCTCCAGCCAGACTAACAGTGATCCTGCAGGTAAGTGGAGGGACTGACTCGTTGTCAGGAAAACTCGACCCAGCAGACACAGACAACAATGTAGGTACGCCAAGGAAGAAGTCCTGGAATATTCAGATCTATGTCTACCAGATTTCCTGTCTTTTGTCTTGCCCTGTTCTGAATCTTTCTGCCTTCTCTACCAGTGTCAGTCTGAGAACTAAAGCCAGCTCTTTAACCCCAAGGGCTGGTCCAGCAAGACTCTATAGTCTATGAGCACACAGAGTATCCAGGAACTTCACCAGACGGTAATGAAGCTGGTGATGATGAAAAGCTCCTCCAGGCCCTCCACACGTCTCCTTTGACCTGACAAGACTGCTTCCTCTCCAATGCGACTTGAAAGGCCAACCATCATTATCATTGTCTTCTTCTCCCTGTTAAGTCAGACACCAAGACAAGCTCTGATTTGAACAAGCTAGCCCCTCCCACCAGCAAAATAATGGACCAACCAACAAGCTCCAGTACTGTGTTTCTCAGAGCAGCTGACTGCCATCTTGCAAGGTGAGAATCAAGGCTCTGAAGGAGAACACATGAGACGGGAAAGTGCACTGTAATGAGCATGGAGGGATGGAGAAACCCTGCACAGCCTTGTGCCGATGCTGGGTAGGGAAGGCGCACACAGCACTCCCAGGGTATGCAGGGAGAAAGGATAGGGTGCCCAATGGGAGCCTACAGTCAGCAGAGCCAAGAAAGCAGAGAACAAATAGAGCCTACCTTATAGCCTGCTGAGGGCCAGAACTGCTAAATAAATCCCATGAGTACCACAGAGAGAAGGTGGCAGAAAATGAGAAAAGCTGAATGAAAAAGAAATTTTCCAAAGGGAAACAGCCAGAAACTGGTTAGCAGTGACCACACATAGCCAAGAGGCCTCCACCAAACTGCTGATCAATTATTGTCTCTCCCTCTCCACACCAAAGCTGCAAAAACATTTGCCATAATTAATTTCTGAAGTTGTAGGCATGGTTCATGAGCATCCAACCTCACCAGTACATCCTGTCTTTCTCTCATAACCCCTCCATAAGCTTGTGTTTCCATCCAGTGGGTGATGCTATTTTGAGAGATTCTGGAGACAGACCTCACTAGAAGAAACAGGTCACTGGGAGTGGGTCCTTGCAGGGTATAACTGATATATCCCTGACCAATTCCCGGTTTGCTCTCTCTGCTTCCAGGTTGGCCATGAAGTGAGCAGCTCTCCTCTGCTGCCTGCTTCTGCTGTTCTGCTGTCCTGCCTAAGCATTTGAGACCAAGGAAACAAAGACTGAACCCACTGAATTATCATTAGCAAAATAACTCTTTCCTCCTTCATTTCTTTCGGGTATTTTATAACAGCAACATAAGTAATTAGTACATCCTGTTGCCCTATGTCAATAGTTCTCAACCAGTGGGTTGCAACCCCTTCAGGGGCTGTGTATTAGATAGCCTGCATATCAAATATTTATGTTATGAATCATAGCAAAATTACAGTTATGAAGTAGCAATGAAATAATTTTATACTTGTGAGTCACCACAACACAAGGAACTGTATTAAAGGTCCACAGCACTAGGAAGATTGAAAAGTACTACCCTGTGTAGCTGAGAGCACAGTAGAGCAGCTTTGGAAGGCATCTAGAGAATTGTATTACTTTCCAAAACCAAGGAAATGGATATTCCCAATGGAAGTTGTGCCACCAGTACTCCCAGTAATGACAATAATGTTCATGGGTATTTGCTGAGCATTCGATATGTGCTAAGCACATGCCATATCCTATAGCGAGTTACCCTATTCATTCCTACAATCCCATCATATCAGAAAGGTCATGGAACTTTCTTCAGACCACAGCTTATACACAGCAGAGTCAGGGCTCAGCCTTGAATGACCACACATCAGTCAAAACACTAAACTATTCCCTTCTTCTGCACTGTTTCTATGGTCTCCTGTTTCTGTTCATATTGTTCTTTCTACCTTTAACTCTGTGTCTTTTCAAATCCCTCTCAACAGTTAAGAGCAATGCCTGCTCTTGCAAAGGTCCTGAGTTCAATTCCAGAAACCACATGGTGGCTCATAACCATCTGTAATGAGATCCGGTGCCCTCTTGAGGAAGAAACCTGGTCAGTTGTCTTCATCAACTTAGACCATGACACCCAATATGGAAAGGTTCAACAGAACCACCATATATGGGCTGCCCATGCCTGCTTCAGCATTGCCAGTGCATAAATTTCAGTTTTTCCTCATTCATCCTTAAGGCCCAATTCAAGTGTTGATTCCTCCCACTGACTTTTTCTGACCTCTTTAAGTTGAGTCAAGTGTCTTCTCGTGTTCTCCCAGCACACTGTGGTTTCTTCTGTGTTGTGGTAGTGTGAATGTATTTGGCCCCCACAAACTCATAGGGAACGGCACTATTATGAGGTGTGGCCTTGCTGGAGGAGGCTGGATGATACACACCCTTAATCCAGACCTTGAGGCTGGAGGGCACACCTGTCACTGTGGGGAGGGCTTTGAGGTCTTTTTCTCAAGCTTCACTCAATGGGACAGCCCATTGATTTCCTGTTGCCTGCAAGATGCAGCCCTCTCAGCTCCAGCACTGTGGAGGCCAAAAATGCAGCCATTTCCACCTTGTCTGATGTCAGAGAGTTTGGAGATCTGACAAGCATAGCTGGAGTCCTAACTTAGGAGGCGACTGCTTGATTCTTTTGAAATTAAAATAGCTCAGTGCCTTTCTGCTGGGTGGTCAGGATAGGCCAATGTACTTCTGCTCCTTCTTCTGTAACTATGAGGTCACCTGGGGAAGATGTGTCTCCAGTATATGTGACCTAGAGCATTTTCCCTACCTAGACAACAGAATGCTAATGATTTGATGTCTCAGAGTGATAAAGCCATTGACTGTGTGTTCTGTTAATAAAGAAGAGTTTAAAAGTTGGAAGTTAACAGTACCAAAAGTGACCCATTCTCTAGAGCTCTACATCAGGAAGAACTGGACAGATAATAAAAACACAATTGTTGATCAGAGGAAAGGTGAGGAACAAATAATGGTCTGGAAACCACGTAGCTCCAAGAAGGTGGGGAGGGTTGTCATTGGGCCTGCTGTCTTTTGGGCACTATGGGTCCCTCTGCTAATGGCTCTGGCAATGTCCTCCCATAAACACATCACCATTCAAGAAGCAAACATGTAACTAAGGCATCACTTGCTTGAAAGAAATATGTGTTTCTTAGAAGAGATGGACCAGTTGTGGTGGGCCTGTAGGATATGCTAAAAACACAAGGTCAAGGCCAGCCAAGGCTATACACTGGGGTTGGAAAGAAGGCGCAGCAGTCAAGAGCACTAGATGCTCTTCCAAGACTAGAGTTGGAGTTCCAGCACCCACAGGGTAGCTAACAAGTGTCTGTAACTCCAGTCCTAGGGGGATGCAATGCCCTCCTCTGGCTGCCACAGGCATCGCATGCAGGCAGAGCACCCACATATATTTTTAAAGATGGGGCTAGAGAAATGGCTCAGCAGTTAAGAGCACTGGCTGCTGTCCCAGAAAACACGGATTCAATGCCCAACACCAACATGGTAGCTCGCAACTGTCTGTAACTCCAATTCCAAGTGATTCGACACCATTACACAGACATACATGCAGGCAAAACACCAATGCCCATGAAATAAAAATAAATCATTTTTAAAAAATAAAAAAAAAGCTGGGTGGTAGTGGCACATGCCTTTGATCCCAGCACTCAGGTAGAGGCAGGCGAGTCTCTGTGAGTTCCAGGCACATCTGGTCTACAGAGCGAGTTCTAGGACAGCCAAGGCTACACAAAGAAACCATGTCTTGAAATAACTAAATAAATAAATGTTGTAAATTAAGAACAAAAGATAGGGCCAGACGCAGGCTGCCCAGGGATAGCTAGAGATTTGGGGGGTGGGTGCTGGAGGAAAGCTTGGAACCAGAAACTCTCTGTTCTAGGCTGGGTTCTCTAGAGGCTTAGTTATGGCTAGGCTCTGCTTTACTGGGGAGAAGGGCGGGAGGGAGGAAGGAAGTAGTCAAATGCCAGTTAGTTAGGCTTGGGAAATGGTAAAGTGCTTGCCACAGAAGCAAGAGGATCTGAGCTCTATGTCCAGCACCCATGTAAAAAGCCAGTGTGCAGAGACATACTTATAAACCCAGCACAGGAAGGCAGAGACAGGAAGAGGCCTGGAGCCCGCTCACACTCCAGTCCTGGCAGGAGACCCTGTCTCAATAAGCAAGGTAGACAATTCTTGAGGAATAACACTGAAAGTGATCATGTGACTTGCACACATGCACGTGTGCATGCACATGCTTGCACACACACAGAGCAGGTATGTGGTCTAGAACAGAAACTCCCTTCAGCCTGAATCCATGGAGAGTCTGGAATTATGAATGGCACCACAGAGCTAGACCACTTTGAGGAAAAGGAACGGCCCCTGTAGAACCTTTCTTCACCAGTCCTTGGTCAACTTCAGAAGGCAAGGCTACTCCTGTCAGCGCCAAAGAAAGGCAGCTGTGAACTATAATCAGTCAGCCCTCCAGACAGCAGCTGGGGTGGGTATGTCAGACAGCAGAATGGACCCCATGGTGCCCACTATGCCTTGGTTTTAGCCAAGATGCCGAGACGGGGAAAGAAGGATGCCACAGAGGCCTGGCAGCACTCAGAAGAGGCCTCAGCCTCCGCAGAACCCTCGTCCCACAGTGTTCCCTTTGTGAAGCAAAACAAAGTGTGCTTTGACAGGATGACCTGCTGGGCCAGTGATGTTGGGAATGGAAGTGGGTAGCCAGAGCCAGCGGGCTGACCCCAAGACCCGGCAGAGTCCGCCCTTAAAGGAAACCACAGTGTAGTAATGTCACAGCGTTGGCACCTCTCCAGCCAAAGTGAGCCCTAGGCCGGGTTCACAGCAAAGCCAAAGGAGGGAGCAAGAAACGAGAGTGGAAGGGGAGGGAGGACTTCAACCAGAGGGTATGTGATTACTCTCCCTGCCAAGCCAGGCTTCCAGACCGACTCATGACTCCACTCCTTTCCTGCGTGAACCAGCCTTCCTTTGAGCTCTGTCAGACATCACCACCTCCGTGAAACTGCCCAGGACTCCCCTATCCATGATTCTCTCTCTGGGGACTCTGCGGACATCTCACTCCAGGTTCTAGTAGGCTGTGTCTGCTAATGTGTAAGACACTTCCGTCTGTTACTAAACAGGAAAGTTGTCTGTTGACACCTTGTCCTCGCGTGTGGCTAGAGCACAGGGCCTAGCCCGCGGATGAAGCCTATCTGTGTGTAACGGGGGGTGGGGGGAGGAACCTGAGGAGGAGGGTGCCTGTCCTGTCTCCCTGCTGTCTGAGGTAGGGTTGGTTAGAGACATGAGCAACCTCAAAGACCAAGCCTGAAGCAGGGAGGAGTCAGTCAGGGCCACCTGCCGTAGCTCTGTCAGAGCAGAGCCACGACAGGCACTCCTGTCCTGTGGCCCCCACAAGGCAGGCATCGGAGAAGAAGGACACTGATGGGCTGGAACCATGCATAACCCCTTGTTCACCCGTGTGAACCAAATGGCAGCATGATGCCAAGTACTCCACAGGCGCATGCCTCTGGGAATGTGATAACTGTGTCACAAGAGCAAGATGTGAGGCTAGATGGGCGCCAGACACCCTGGCAAGAAGCAGTAAAATGGGTGCTGCCCCGGCAAATGAGTCCCCTTAGTGGATTAGAGTGAAGCACACAGGACCAGAAATCTACACCTCAGGGAGTGGGAATTGCTGAGGCTCTAGGGTTGGGAGCCAAAACCAACACACTCTGGCTGGGGTCCCTCCCACAGACCTCACACTAGACCGGAACCAATCAACCCTGGAGGAGTGAAGGGGTCCGGAGGCTCTTCTGTTGGCCTTTCCCAGCATCCCCAGCTTGCTCCTTTGGGTGAGTCTTTGGTAGTCTGAACATGGAAGAAATACTATTAGATGCTCAAATGAGCTGAAAGCCCTGATTCCCTAGTTCAAACTGCTCTGTGTCTGCTCTCATCATCAGGGCCCTGATCTCTCTCCACTGCTGTAGTGAATAGTTACCGCTTTTCCCCAAGCCCTTTCTCAACACTTGCTGGCGTGACTGAAGTAAACAATGTCACGGATCAGAAGAGGTATCATTTTTTTATGTCTGCGGTGAAGATGTTTTATGTTTTTAAAAGATTCTTTACTTATGCGTATGTTGGGCATGTGCGCTTTGAGCGCAGGTGCCCTCGGAGGTCAGAGGCATCAGCTTCTCTGCGGCTAGAGTTGCAGGTGGTTGTGAGCCACCTGGAAACTGAACTCAGGTCATCTACAAGAATAGCACATGCTCTTAACCACTGGGCTTTTTCTCCAGCCCCTTGGGGCCAGTCTTGTCTTCCTGATTGAGCTCTTTTGTGGTGGTGGTGGTGTTGGTTGGGTGTTGGCTAACCTCAAACTTGCTATGTAGCTGAGGATGACCTTGCTCTCCTGATTATAGTCTATATATAGCCTATAATGCTGGTATTCCAGACATGTACCACCACGTTAAAGTGAACACCTGAGTCAACTTAGCTCAGTGGGCTAAACCCCAATGCAAATGAAGCCTGTCTGGGTCTTAGATTATCACAGAAAACAAGTAGAACCTCTCTGTTCAGTCAGTCACACAGAATACCCAGAACCCAGCTCCAACCGACTTGAAAATGTCTGCAGCCTGTCTGTCCCAAACAGGGTTAAATCACAGCAACTACAGTCCAACACAAACCTACCTCCAGAGCCGAAGAAGAAAGCTCAGACTGCCCATTGCCCTGAGATAAAGACTATACTCACAGCGATTTGGCTTCTCCTGGTCAGAAAAGCGCCTAGCAGTGGTCCTTGGGGCCACTTTGAAGTTATCAATAGGCCTCAGAGGTGCCTAAGTTTTTCATTAAGGATAACTCGGACCCTTCAGGTTCAACATTATAGTTCCCAGGCTAGAGAGACAGTTTGCATTGCACACATGAGGACCTGAGTTCACATCTCCAGCACTCATGTTTTGAAAAATAAAGCTAGGCTCAGTGGCACATACATGTCTACATGTGTGTAATCCCAATACTGGGAAGCAAAAAACAGTTGGCTCCCTGGAGTTCACTGACCAGCTAGCCTAGCAAACTGGTCAACTCCAGGGTCCATGAAAGAGCCTGTCTCAAAAAAACAACATGTGTCACGCCACCTCCTGCGGAGTCTGTGTGATTTCTCACTTAGGCTGTGGCACAAGCTTCAAGGAAGCGTGCCCGCAGAGAAGGTGTGTGTGTGCTTTCTGCACCGGAGCCCTTGCACTTTTGGCATTACCTGCTTATGTTCTAAGGAATGCAGTCTGCTTTCTTCTGGAAGGGAAGACAGTATATTTAAGTTTCCAGAGTCTACTGATGAGACATTGTCATATACAGGAGCATATGATGCTAATGGAGGAAGATGGGTTAACATTAAAGGGGAAAAGGTTTCCAGGTTTAATCTGGTGCTTAGTAAATAAAGAACAAAAGGCAAACTTAATTAAGCAATTAAGACAGATTCAGCAAAAATGAGATAAGGATAGAAGAGAGAGATAAATGCCTGTAACATCTTGAGATAGGTTTGGGGAAGGTTTGAAAAGGAGTTAGAAATGTGGAGAAGGAGGAGGAAAGAAGAAGTTCTTCTGCATAGATGGCAGAAATATAAAAAGACCGGAGACTGTGTGGCTGCCGCTTGCCCTTAGCTCAAAATGCCATGAACTCATAGCCTAGATAAAGATTTATATCAAAACTAATAAAATGCCAAGCCATGCCTAGCATGACCAACCGCAGACTCACACGAGGGACCTCTGTCTGATGAAAATCTATCCTCACATAGCTGATATAATGATGGAGGAGGGTTATCTGTCTATTGTGTTATTTTCATTGGTCAATAAAGAGACTGCCTTGGCCCCTTGATAGGACAGAAAATTAGGTAGGCGGAGTAAACAGAACAAAATGCTGGGAAGAGGGCTATGAGGCAGACGCCATGGAGCCAGCCACCAGGTCAGACATGCTGAATCTTTCCCGGTAAGCCACCACCTCGTGGTGCTACAGATTATTAGAAATGGGTTAATATCAAGATATGAGAGTTAGTCAGTAACTAACTCTCTAGAGATAATGGGCCAGGCAGTGCTTAAATGAATACAATTTGTGTGTTGTTATTTCTGGGACTAAGCTAGCCGTGCGGGAGCCGGGTGAGGTGAAAAGCAGGCCTGCCCGCAGCCCCTTACAACAATATAATGATTCTAATAATAATCTGTATTGCATGAAAAAACAATACATGTTGTTAAGCAATCTTTTCTATATAAAGGATGAGCCTCATGCCTAGTAAAGACACATTCAGATGCAATTCCTTTGAGTCTTGTGTCTGTTTGTCTTTCGTCGACTCCTTACCCACCTATTCCTGAGACCCTGTCCCGTTGGTCCCAATGCCCTGGCTGAGCTGGTCCGTCACAAACATGGAAAATGATCGAGGAAGACGCAAAATGCCCACCTCTGGTCTCTATACCTACACACATACATGTGCGCGCACACACACACACAATTTTAATCTTCTGGTAGGAAGTCTCTACTGTAACACTCTCCAGTGGACTTTCTGCCATGTCAAAATGCTCAGTATCCCCATGGTCCAATATGGTGAATGGGTACCTGGCCACTGACCAACTGAAAAACTGAATTTCTGGTTTCTCTCTCAATTAGTTTAAATAGCTACATGTGGTTAGTAGATACTGTTTTGGACCGCACAGGCCTAGAATATAAATATCAATAGTTATGAACAGATGACAAAACAGAATAATATTTAGCACAAGTATATCATTTTCCAAACACTGTTCTAAGTGCCCAGTGTCTTGCATATATACCACTACTGTCTACTGGTGATAGAAGGATAAATTCAAGTAAAATTATTATGAACTTTATGACATTCCAACATCATATTTTTCACCTGTGACCACTAACAATTTAATTATCATGAGACTCATTTTTTAAGATGAAAAATAAGTTGATCCTCCTGCTCACCCTCATCTTAGCTTCCCTATGCCCCATGAACAAGGTTGGAAGGGTCTGGTTCCCTCCTCTGCTTATTTCTGGTTTTCTGCTCTGAGTGAAATGGATCCTCAGTTCCCTCGCCAACCTCAAGCCCGCCACATGGCGCCTGGGGTGCGCATGCGCACTTGGCTATTGAGCACGCGGCTGTGCGCTCCTACTCACCAGAGCACATCTCCCCCTTGTAGCGGACACATGAGAAGTCGTCACACTCGCAGAACTTCCCCGTGATCTTGCCGAAGTCACTGCTGTGGCATACACACTGGCCGCAGAGGCACTCGCCCCGCTGGCTGCAGACGGGTTGGCCCTCCTTGGCGCTGCACTCCTCCTGCTGAGAGGGCCGGTAGTCCTCCTCGGAGCACTCACACATGGATCCCAGCCAGCCCTGGTCACAGCGGCACACTCCACACTCAAAGGTCCCATTGCCATTGTTGCAGCGTGGGCTGAGGGGTTGGGCAGAGGCCTGGCAGGCGCAGTCACAGTCAAAGGTGACCTGGACGGTAAGGCTATCCTTAAAGCCCACAGGCTTGATGGTGAAAGACTGCTCCTTCTCCTGGGGGCAGCCGCGTACCTTGGCCTCGACGCTAAAGCTCACCTGGGTGGAAAGACAACATTCAGACCTAAGTGGATCTGGGTACCACTGGCCCTTGAGAAACGCTGTGCTGCACCCTGCCAAGGACAACAAAACTAGGTATCAAATCCAACTGCCCTGGGGAGTTTCTTGACCTTAATTCTATCAAAGTCTACATAGTAAAAGCTACACTGGCATCATAGTTACTACTGTGACCTATTTGATTGGACAGATGGTACAGCCTAGCAATAGAAGGCTGTTTTTCTCCCGAGAAGTCAACCGGCTCAAGCAAGACAGGATCTGTGATGCCAACAAGCCCGCTGGAGTATTATCATTACATATTAACAGCAGGACATGCAAAATGCTGCTTTATACCACACCGTGCCATAGAGTGATCAGTCACAAACTGAGGGGTTACAGTATAAAGTGTCATTGGAGGGTGTGAAGTGTGAGCTGTGAACACATATGCTTAGGAAATAAACATACAGGGCAATGGACCAAAAGATCTATTTTTCTTCATTCCTCTCTCCCATCCACCAGTGCCTTGGGGAGAGCAGAGGAGGACCAACAAACAAAGAAAATCAGGGGACCTAGAGAGATGGCTCAGCAAGGTAAGAACACTGGCTGCCCTTCCAGAGGGCCTGGGTTCAAATCCACATGGTAGGTCACAACCATCTGTAACTCCAGTTCCAAGGAATCGGACACTCTCTTCTGGCCTCCGCAGGCCCCAGGCACACACGTGATACCCAAATACACACACACACACACACACACACACAGGCAAAATAACCATATACATAACCTTTTAAAAGAATAATAATCAAAAAAAACCATGGAGGGAACAGAGGGGCAAGATGAACATTTGCACTCTTAAGTCCCAAGGTGGATGGGTATTTTTGCCTGTTCTGCTTGCTGTTTGTTGGATCGTTTTCATCAGCAAGAATAAAGCCTAGCACACAGTCAGTGGTTGGCAAAAGTCTACAGATGATAGACTGCAGAGAAGAGAAAGGCATTACTCTGGGTGGGTAGATAAGAGATCATTTCACTTGCAATCAGATGCACAGGTGTGAACACAGTGAACCAAGATGAAGGTTTGATGTGGGATGCTCCTTTGTATGAATGAATATGCTTTATTACCATTGGCTATTAAAGAAGCTCTTTCGGCCAGTGGCTTAGTAGAGTAAAGCCAGGCAGGAAATCTGAGGAGATAGAGAGAGAAAGTAGGCGGAGTCGAAGAAATGCCACGGAGCTGCCAAAGGAGAAAGATGCCAGCTGCCAGCCAGAACCTTACCGGTAGGGCACACCCTTGGGACGATACACAGATTAATAGAAATGGGTTGATTTAAGATGTAAGAGTAAGCTAGAAACAAGCCTAAGCTGTTGGACAATGTTGTAATTGATATAGTTTCTGTGTTATTATTTGGGTCTGAGCAGCCGGGAAACGATCTACAACGGTTCCCAAAAACTGGTAGGAAGTAAACCTTAGGCAGCAGACACTTCGAGAAGAAAGATTAAGAGCTCTCGTAATCAAACTTCTAATTCTGAAAAAGGTTGGGGTGTAGTGGGTATTCACTCCACCCATAACCTTGGATTCTCTGGTGCCAATAGAGGCGGAGCTTCTTGTCTACTGACATAACTCCTTTAAAAGAAAGAGGGGGGCAGGTTCTCCCTCTCCTGTGTGGTGGTCAGAAATCAGACTGCTGGTTCCATTGCCTCCCCTCCCCCCACACCCCATCCCCACACACCCCCGGCAGAGCAGAAGTCCTCAATGGCTATCTACCTTGTTGTGTACCTCATGCGTGTTTTCTGATAAATCCCCAATAGCCATTTGAACGGCTCCTGTGGATTCACCTCTATTTGCCTACAATGGGGTACACACAAATTCTGGGGCCAAGGGTCACGGCTTCAATATCAGCCCCTGCCTAGCCCACCTCACCGTGTCTCCAATCTTGAGTCCCACACAAGACTTGAGGCCTGGGATGACCTCGTTGTTGAGGCAGGTGGCATTGAAGGACAATGACAGCTCTTCAGGGAGGTCACGCACTTCCAGCTCCACTTTAGAGCGGATTTTCTGAGCAGAAAAGGACAAAAGAAAGTAAGGAAACAGGCAAAAGCCAAGTCCATCCCACGCAAAGCCAACACAGTAGGCTGGGACTTGCCTGAGGCAGAGGTTTCTCTGCCAGCTGCTGCCCTGTGGTCTCTGTGCTCAGTCGCCTCTTCTGGGTGTCATTAGGACCTGGCTATCCCTCATTCTGCCCTACAGCTGTCTCTTGTCCATCTAACCCACATCTGCTGTCCCCTCTACCTCTGTCCTGTTCCTCCCTGGCCTTCCTTCCCGGCCCATTTTCTTTCCAAAAGATGCCATCATTCCCAGAGCTGGCCATCCTCTACCTCTAGGAACACAGGAGGAAAACAGGAAGGTCACATGGGAGAAAGGCAGTCGGGGTTCCCAAAGAGCTTGGCTCTGTTAGACCATGGGCCTGCGCCTTTAGGCATGAGCCCATAGCCCAGGTCAGTTCACACACCTCAGCTCTCTTTGGGACAGAGTCCCAAAGCAGTTTGTACTGTGACTTGACAGCTCTCAGTGTCAGAGTACCTGGCTTCTCTACAGGCCATGTTCAACTGAATCACATGATATGAAACTTCCTGCCACTCCTAAAAGCCCATATAAAGCCAGACCACTCTTCTGTCCTGGGAATTGGTCTTGGGAGAAAGGCTGCTTTCGAAGAGACTCCCCCTGCCTTCGCCCTCATGCAAGTTCTCTCTCTCCCTCTCTCCTCTCGACCTCCGTCACTCTTAATGAAGTTCCTCTTCAGGCTTTCAAGGAAAGCCTCTCGTCCCTTGTTTAGGCCTCCATATTGTATTGCTTTCACCTCCTCCCTTCCACCTGCAGACCCAAGCTCGGCCTCGAGGCCATTCATTTTAAGGAATTCCATCACTGAAGGGAATGTATCAGGTGTCCATTGCAGACTGACCACTGCGTCCCTCCTAAGGCCAACAGCCTTACCCCATACGCATCAACAATGAGCTGGAGGACATTGCTTGAGTCATCAGACAGGATTCCCACTGTGGTCCCCGGGATAAGCTCGCTATAATTCTAGAAAGGAAGACAAAAATCACCCATAGCTTAGTGAAGGAAAGTGGCTCCTAAAAGTCCCCTTAGTCAGACAGGCAGTCATTGTCGTTGGGGGCGGGGGCCACATCAAGACAGGGTTTCTCTGTGTAGCCCTGCCGTCCTGAAATGCTCTCTTGAAACCAAGCTGGCCTTAAACTCAAAGATCTGCCTGCCTCTGCCTCCCAAGTGCTGGGATTAAAGGTGTGCGCCACCACTGCCAAACTTAAAATGAAGTTTGGAAGACACTGTGGGATGTCTCACTTGTCACTACCAGAACAGATCTAGCAGATTTTCCTATCTGAGAAAAAGTAGGAACCCTTTTTACGTCCCCTCTTCCCACTGAATTATCTCCTGCCACCACCACAAACACCCTCTTCCTGGTAGGTTAAAGGTTGAAGGGGAAAGGTTACAGGGAGAACTATGTGAAGTGCCCGGAGAATGAGTGTAGAAAGGATTTTCCTGGTCAGGTCCCTGGATAGTGACAGCATGCGATGGCCCCCTGGGACAGGTCCTCCTGTGGTGACGGGATGGAAGCCCCAGAGGCATAATTACCTGGTAGAGGTTGGCGACATTCTCAGTGACTGCGAAAATCAGGTTAATGTTTTTCTGGGATAGTTTCTCAGTCATTAGCCCCAGAGACGGATAATCCTAGAAAGGGGGGAAGAGGTAAAGATTCATGCTTCCCTGGACGCTAAACCTTTGAACTTGTCTTATCTGGGGTACAATCAGGGAAATGTATAACTTTAAGATTTTTACCCACTAATCAAAGTGAGGTATTGTGGTTTGGGTGTGGCTCCAGTGTGTCCCTTGAATTTCATGTGTTGAAACTGAATTCCCACTGTGAGATGCTGAGGGGTGAAGACAAGCACCCTCCAGTATTTAGGAGTAGAGTGTCTGGGAATTAAATAGAGTGAGAGGTCATTATGGTGAAGCCCCCAGAGTTGAATTCCCGCTAACTTTATAAGAGGAAAACAATGAAACAGAAACCCACACACACACTCCCTGACCTCTGCTTCATGCCGGCCTGAGTCTTGGGACTCAGCCAAAAAGATGATGACCAGATGTGGTCACTCAAACTCGCCAAGTTCTAAAAACAAAACTAAAGGTCTTTTCTGCCTTACTGTGTCTGTGCTATTGTATTGTTAGCAACAGAAACCAGAGCACAATACGAGTGAGGAGGGCAAAGCAATGCAGGGTTAGCTGTGAGCCCTGGGCTGGTGGTGTTCCCAAACCAAGCTCCTCCCTTCCCACTCAGATTCCAGCCAGCTCCATGAGTTAAGACCCACTGCTGCAGAGCTCTGGGCAAATGGTCTAGCCTCGCTCTATCTATCCTGCTGTA